AAACACGTTGCGCTGGAACTCCTGGAAAGGCACCGCCAACCAGAGGACGCCCTTCCACTGACAACGACCATCCCACTGCCACGTCCTTTTTTCTCCGATGATTCCTGGGACAACCCCACGAAATTCCTGGAGGATTTCGAGGCCTTCTACCAGAAGAGTCGGACAAGGAACTCAGACAAATTGATGGACGTTTCTCTGTGTCTCAAACGAGACGTCCACGAGTGGTTTGTCGCCAACAAAGCAAGTTGGGAGACCTACGACGAGTTTAGGGAGCACTTCCTGAACAAATTCTGGCCCCCTGAACGACGACGAGACCTCTACAAAGAGATCACATCCCAATCTTTCGACCCCCGCCGAGGTTCCCGCATGGTGAACTTCTTCTTGAGGCGATTCAACGTCATGCGTTCTTTGATGCTGCCGCAATCTGAAGAGGACATTGTTTCCGATTTAATGCGACTCTTTGCAGAGGAAGTCTGGGCGGGATGGGGCACATTCCCGAAGAGTGAGAGAACTTTCCAGAAGGCACAAGATTTCCTGTCCCACCTGGAGTCCCGAAAGGTCCGCGACAGAGCCCGACCAAAGCGTACTCAGGTATCACAGGTATACGACCGTTATATCGAATGTACTTCTATTCCCTCCGATATTGATTCAGATAACGATAGTGATGCGGAAGAAGAAATCGATGAAGTTATAGCTGACAATAATGAATATGTGTTGTCTGCTACAGATGATGGAGATGATAATTGGAATGCAGAGGATTTAATTCCCCTATCTCGGTTTGCTAATTCAACAAATTTAACATACATTTCTTGAGGGAAAAATTTAACCAATATTCAACCACCACCTCCACTTACTGAACCTTGCGGTCTACCACAATTTATTCTTGATGTGGCTGAACCAACACCATTTGATTTTTTTAATTTATTAGTAACTGACGATATTCTTGGTCACCTCGTATTTCAAACTAATTTATACGCAGAACAAGAGTTCCAATCTACCGGAAAGACATGTAAAAAAACTGATATAAATGAAATGAAAACATTTTTGGGAATTAATCTTCTGATGGGCATCAAAAAATATTCGAGTTATAGAGATCACTGGAATACATTACCAGATCTTCAGTAAACTAATACCATTGCACAGGTTTGGTTGGATTCCATCCCACCTTCATTTAAATGATAATTCTGTAATGCCAAGGCGAGATACTGACGATTTTGATAAGCTGTACAAAGTACGGCCATTTTTGGAGTCTCTAAAGATTAATTTTAAGAAATGTCTGCACCTTCATCAAAATGTAGCTGTCGACGAAGGCATGATTAAGTTCAAAGGGAGAAGTTCTATTAAACAGTATATGCCTAAAAAGCCAGTGAAGAGGGGCTACAAGGTTTGGATGTTAGCGGACCAAACAGGCTATTGTTGGAATTTTGAAATTTACACAGGTAAAACTGGAAACGATGTGAAAAAAAATTTAGGTGCTCGCGTAATTAAATCATTATGCTCTGAAATTACAAACAAAAATCATAACCTGTTTTTTCACAATTATTTACATTCAAGTGTGACAAAGAGTTACGTCGTGGAGATCATCAATGGTTTACTAGTAACACGAATTTAGCTGTAGTGAAATGGCGAGATAAAACATCAGTGCATTTACTGTCTAATTATCATAATCCTGAAGTTAGTACTGAAGTCAAAAGAAAAGAAAAAGATGGACGCTTCGTACAAGTTCCCTGTCCTGGAATGTTGACAGATTACAATAAAAACATGAATTTTGTAGACAAATTTGACCAAATGCGTACTTGCTATGGTATTAATCGAAAAAGTCACAAATGGTGGCACCAGTGGCGGCTGGTGGGAGTGGGCAAGGTGGGCAGTGCCCAACATAATTTTTTCGAGGTTTTACAATTAATAAAATATGAATTTCCCAAATTTTATACAAAATAAATCCAATAACAAATCCTTGCAATTATGTTCCTTAAAATTCCTACGTTCAACATGCTCGTTATACTCCTTATTTTCGGATAAAAGTGATCTTCGGGCTAGCCCGAGACGCCTGAATTAATCTGTACGCATCTACCATACCGAGATTAGTCTGAAAAATAGAGAACACCACATGGTCGCAGGCTCTGTTGCGTTGGCTGGCGTGGAGTAGGGATACACCACGAGTGACCAAGCTCGGGCTTGCCCAGAGCTCACATATAAAGCATATAAATAATACGAGTACATACTACACACTGGATTAGGGCTTCGCTGAAAAATGTAGTTGCTATAATGAGAATTTAAAAATGGAATTGAAAATTATAGGTACATAATTTCTTTCAAGTAATCAGTAATATCATTTTTTTAATAAATTCAATTTGTTTTATAGTGTAAATGATACGGACAAAACACGAACTAAAACAATTTTCATTACGGCTAATCGTCATAGTGAAAAATTTTTACACATCTTGGCTGAAAAAAAAAACCGATTTGTGTCAGATTCGTATTTTATCTGCTATTTCGAATGTCGTAACATTGTATTCGGTAATGCACACAACCACCGCTGGTAAGGCTGACGGGTTGACGATACAGGCTGGGCTTGCCCAATCGGATAGTTTCGTAGTTGCCTCGTGTCACATCGTGAACCGTTAAATATTACTCCTACAAAATTGTTTAGTGTTCTGAGGGGTTGTGGTGATTTAATTTAATTGTTTTGTAGTGCAATAATCGTAACATAAAAATCATGGCAAATGGTAACAATTTGACAAGCTGTAACAGCAGTATTCTGTCATCGTCATCGCCTTCAACATCAAGTACAGGTATTAGTTTAAATACAAACATCCGGGAGGTGGTCAACAATAATGATGATGTCGTAAATTTCTTATTGGAGACTAAATTTAGCAGACTAAATTATGATGATAAACTTTTTATAGTAAAATTGAAACCACGTCCACAAATGAAAAATTTAATAATGAAAAATAAAGGCAGCAGAGGTAACAGAGGGTTTAATAATAATAATTGGTACGATAAGTATAACTGGCTCACGGGAAGCGAAAAGCGAAACAAACTTTACTGCTGGAGTTGTCTTTTATTTTCTGAGACTAAGCAAAGTCCTTGGACTAGTGGCTACGACGACTTAAAACACTTATCCGAATCGTTGCAAAAACATGGAAACTCAGAACAACATACTCATGCGTCTTTAAAATTTAAATTGTTTGGAAAAAATAATATTCAAGATTCAATAGATTCAGCCCATGTTCAAAGTATTTTAAAGCATAATGAACTGGTTAAAGAAAATAGAGAAATAATAACGAGGCTGATTGATATGATCATTTATTTAGCAACCCAAGAACAAGCATTCCGCGGCCACAATGAATCAAGAGATTCTTTAAATCAAGGAAATTTTAGGGAATTAGCGTCACTGCTTTCCAAATATGATAATAAATTTAAGGTATTTTTGGATGAATCTTCGGTATTCACTGGGCTTTCAAAAACTATTCAAAACGAGTTAATTGAAAGTATTAATAAAGTAATTAGTGAGATTATAGAGAACGAAATTAAAATGAGCCCCTTTTTTTCGTGGCAAGTTGATGAGACCACTGATATTAATTGCCGATCTCAAGTATCTGTAATTTTTCGTTATGTAAAAGAGGGTAAAGCTGTTGAACGCTTTATGGGATTTTTTGACGCTAGTGAAGGTAGAACCGCTGCCGATTTATTTAATTTGTTAACAGAAAATTTTAGTAAATACGATATCACTAATAAGCTGATCGGTCAAACTTATGATGGTGCTTCCGTAATGTCTGGTGAATTGAATGGGTTACAATCAAGGGTTAAGCAGATAGCTCCTCAAGCTCTGTTCACGCACTGTTACGCTCATAGGTTAAATCTCATATTACAAGACGCATCAACATCTATTAAAGAATGTCGAATTTTTTTTGCAAACATAAAAGGATTTCCCACATATTTTTCTAAATCAACAAAAAGGACTAATATTTTAGATCAAATGTGTACTAGGAGAATACCTAGCGGATCCGACACCAGATGGAACTTTAAATCACGTTTGATAAATGTTATAATTGAAGAAAGGGATAAACTTGTACTTGTTTTTGACAAAATTATTGATTCCGAAGATTTTGTAAGGCCCGGTTTTACAATGCAAGCTTAAGCGAGGTTCAAAGATAAGCCTTGGTTCAACTGCAGTTGTCCGTTTTACAATACATGGTTCAATGTTAAACCGCGCTCAAACGAAGGCTCAGCTGAGCGCTGATGTCAGGGTGGTTTAAGCTTCGCTCAACTGTCCATAACCTCAAATGTCTGTGCTTTATCGTTTTGGTGGTGTGACAGCATTATAATTGAAGATGGAAAATTTATTAGGAGTATTAACTGACGATGAAGACGTTTTAGAAATGATAAACATATTAGAACCGGCACATATGCGACGACCAAAAGTTTTTCAGTTGAGAGAAAATCACTTTGAAAAGTGAAATGCTGGGGAATTTTTGAAACGATTTCGTTTTTCCAAGACTGGCGTACGGTTTATTTTGCAACAAATACAGGAGCAAATTACATCGCGAACAGAAAGAAATCATGCAGTATCACTGGAGCAAATGCTACTTGTGACTTCACGTTTCCTTGCCACTGGATCTTTTCTGCAAGTTGCTGGTGACTTTATAGGGATTAGTAAAGCAACAGCTTCTCAAATAATTAATGTTTTGGGGTGTGGAAAAGACGCTTTCCAGCATTGGCTTTTGGAATTCGTTTAAAAATGTGTAAATTAGAGGCAGTGGTTGTGGCAACAGCAGTTTTACACAACATTGCAATTATTTTAAATGAAGAAGAACCGCCAATGGACGCAGAAGAAGAAGCAGCAGTGAATTTTGTGAACGATGTTCTAATTGAAAACATTGGAGAATATAGTGGCAATTATAATCAGAACAATTTTGTACGGAACCAGTTCATCAGAGAATATTTTACTCATTTGCTTTTTTTGATTTCGTTTTTAGTTGCAGTAAATAATAAAATGTAATGTAATTATTTATTTAAGTTTTATTATTTAAAATATTAAATTTTTGGGCAATTAATATTTCAATCTTCATTTGGTGTTCTGCTTTATTACTTCTAATTCAAGTGCAGCTTTGTCTCTCATAATTTGCATTTCTAGTTCATGTTTCTCTTTCATGGCTTTTAATTTAAACTCTTGCTCCTTTTGGATGTATTCCTTTCGACTTAGTTCGACAAGTTCTTTGGCAGCGGCACATTGCTCTAAATTATCACTTGTCTGGTTTCCTTTACCTATACAAACAATACATTAATAAAGTTTTAAGACAAGTGTCAAACATTTTTTAATATAAATATATATACATATAATACCTCTACGATATGGCGTGAGTGCTGAAAATTTTTTTTGCTTCAAGATTTTGGGGGAGTATTTAGCCCAATTCCCAGTTTGACCATTTTCTACAAAAATAACCATATTTGATTATTATTAATGTTTACCACTTTCTTTATTGGGACCACTTATTTTATCCATAACAGGCACTTCTCTCGAAATTGCTCCGGTTTGATCTTTTGGCATAAAACAATCTGAAATAAAGAAAAAATAGTAAAAAATTTCTGAATAAAGTGTATGTAAGGATAAAAAGTATTTACCATCATTTTCGTCATCAGACAGATTATACCGCTGTTACTTTGGAATGCTGAAAAGCATCAACATTTTAATTTTACAATACATATTATTCATAAAAATACTTATTACAGGTTGTTTCGGAATCGCCATCAAATTCGCTGCTATGCCCCATTGGTTTGGCCCCGAGAATTTCTTTTACAGCCACATCAACATCGGTGGCCTCAATACTTTGTTGTGACCCTCTCCCAGTACCACCGACATAGGAGCAAGTTTTCTTCGGATTTTGTAAAATTCGGAGCACGTGTATTACTCATCTGAAACGAAATGTTAAAAACCATCATAATCATCTACTATTAACGAGCAAATGTTACATATACACATATACGTACCCCAGTAACGCAAAAAACTAATTACTTTGCAGAATTTGTCACAAATAATTTATAATAATGTGACATGATGACATAGATGACAACAACAACACACTTCCAACGTGCTCCCAACGTGGTCTCAACTGTCAGATTCTCGGGTGCGCGCTACCAACCTAAGGAAATTTGTGGTTCAGCTGAACCGGACGATAGCGGTGTTTGTAAAACAGACGCATGAATTGAACCTCAGTTCAGTTGAACTCAAGTTCAGTTGAACTCGTGTTGAACCGGACATTTGTAAAACCGGGCCTAAGAGACGGCGATGCGATTAGAGAGGCGATAGGCTTTAAAAAAATCCTGAAAAATTTTAATTTTTTAATATTGCTTCATATTTTCAGTCTCATATTTGAACAAACAGAATTCATTTTCGATATAATTCAGTCCAAATCGACAGACATATCATACTGTAAGAAAAGAATAGAAAATTTGCAGCAAACATTAAATAATTTCAGATCAAATGACAATTATTTTAATAAAATATATAATACAGTTTCCAATATTACTGAGCCACCAAATTTATCTAAGAAACGTAAGTCGAACTATGATGGAATTGATGATCCTAAAACGTATTTCAAACGCGTATTTAATGAAATTCTTGACATAATAACTACTCAAATAGAAGTTAGATTTAGAGATATGGCAACTTTAGATTTTCTAGATTTATTGAATAAAGACAAATTTATGTCATACAGACAAACGTTTCCCCAAAATTTAGTTAATTCCTTACTTAAGAATTATAAAAATATGTTCACCCAAGCTAAGTTGCAAAGTCAGTTGCGCGTGTGGTATTCAGATATAGACCTACTTGGAGATTCTTCCAATTATGCCGACATTTTAAATTTCATTTTTATTAATGATCTGCAAAATGAGATTTCAGAAATATATAAATTGCTTTGTATCGCTTTATGTGTACCCTCGACTTCAGCTTTAGTAGAAAGAAGCTTTTCAACTTTAAAAAGAATAAAAACTTTCACTAGAAATTCAATGACTCAGACGAGATTATCTAGTTTATCAAAGATTGCCATCGAAAGGGGTTTGATCAAAAACAAGTCCAAACAACACAATTTTATGACAGAGTAATAGATCATTTTGCCTTACAAAAAAATAGACGCATTGACTTATTTTATAAAAATGTGCCAAATACCAGTTCATAATTTTTTTTATCTCAAGAGTTTCAAAAAGCATCACTCTAGAATATTTTTTTATTTTGTTATACTGTTAACTATTATTTAGAGTTTATTTTTTGTTTTTTACGATTTTCTATTTAAGAATTTTTTTATGTTTTGAGAATTTTTTATCTTTATTTTTATTATTTGTTATATTGGTTTTATTATTTTTTATGTAGAGTTTATTTTTAGTTTTTTTTACATATTTACTAACCTTCAATGCCCCACACCAACAATGACCTTTCATTTTTTCCTTCCCCGGCAAGATATCGCTCCGAACCTTCACGTGGTTCTTGCCGAACGGTGTATTTTTCAAATTTTGGAATTATGCCGGCTAAAACGGAGCTCAAACCAAAAAACGTACAGAATAACTACGCTGTAAGAACCTCGTGATACATAAAATACTTTTGATTAGGTACCTACCGCTTCACCACCTTGCCCAAGCTACCAAAATTCTCACGAGCCGCCACTGGGTGGCACAGGATTTTTTTTCTTCTTTATCGACGCGGCAGTAGTAAGTGCTTTTATACCGTTCAAATTGCGAGGTATTGACACAAAGATGACTATGAAAATTTTTAGAAGAAAGATAATTGAAGGTCTCGTAGCCAACACTCTTGTGAAAAAGGTGTCTTTGCCGGTAGAGCTCCATTCCAATAAAAAACATAAACCCCTTGTTTCTGAGAATATAAGACTAACGGAAAGCACTCACCAACCAACACGTACTACAAGAAGACGATGTGCCTTCTGTAGTACGAAAGTTAAAGATACAAGAACTAACTGGAAATGCAGTGTTTGTAACGTACCACTATGTCTGGGAAAATCCAAGCATTGTTTCCAATCATATCACTGAAAATAATGTTATAGTCATAAGCGTATGGTGGTACAAAAGTGATACCACCCTATAACGTTTTTACCATTAGGGCATTACCCAAAAAAAGTGTTTTTACCCTATATTTTGTGTATTAACAGGAATACGTAATAGTTTATAAAGTTTTTTTTAATAAAAAAAATTCTTGTACCTCTAGGGTTTATTTCTTAGCAAAATTCTCGTACCTGAAACAGTTAAGTGCCAAAAGGACGCCAACTGGATTAACCCTTTCCCAAATCGGTGGCTTATAGGTAAGCACGTCTAATATTAGTGCGAACTATTGTAAGATGTGTGCATGTTGCGGGAGCGGTGGTGGTATAATTTCTTTGTACGCGCCAAAAGCGAAAACAGCAATATTGAAACCAAACAAGGGGAGGCACCCCAGCGGAAATCCCTCACCCATTATTTTTTAATGCGTTTTCTTTGTAGTTGACTTTCGGTAGGTGGAAAGTAGCTACAATCAACTTTACCATGAAATAAATAGTACACAAATTTTACACTACCTAGCTTGCCTATGAAATCCAGTGAATACAAACTCAGTTTATCAAGCAATAATAAATGGTCACAACCTCTGGCAGGGTAACTTTGGAATAACTTTATAACCTTTCTGTTGTGATTCGTTCGCCTCAAATTAAATTACCGGGTACGAGGTCTTATAGTTGGGTGTTTTTGACCCTTTTTGGTCATTCAGTTAGTTAAGTGTGGAACACAGAAAACCTTTATGCAATAATGAATTTTGAAGAAAAGAACTTTAACGATGAAGAATCCGTTGCGGAGGATTACCGCCCAACACCACCACCGTCATGCGTTTGCCGCCTGCCTTATTTATATTTATATTGTTTTCAGGCGATTATAAATCAAGTTATGTTGTGCGGTGCAATCTGTCGTCCATCTATCAAGGGACACCGCACCGCTGCGACCGAGAATGTCATCTGGGGAACCAATCTGTCCCGTTCAACAATATGTTGGAGTAAATCCCGACTTGGGATTTTTCTGGTGCCCGTGTCCTATACACGGACAACCCATTGGGACCCTTGTCATCAGGTTCACTGGGGTCATGGCAATCATGTTGAAACAGAAGGAAAAAAACTTCCGGAAACGATAAGGTCTAACACCAAATGTGTTCATGCTGTTGACCAAATGACAAGAAATTATGCGACCAAGGTCTCATCTAGATGATGGCCTTAGACCTATCTGCAATAAATGCTTGGATTCTCTATAAGGAAGTCACCGGAAGCAAGATTAATCGCAGAAACCGTATACTGCAGCTGTATGAAGAACTGGCAGCCAAATCTACACCAGAAACAGAAAATCCGAAGGAAGAAGACGACTAAGATTCTCCCACCGACACATCAAGGAGAAAACGTCGAAAATGCAGCATAAAACGATCATGTAAAGGTAACTGAACAAACATGTTGTGTGCTAAATGCAAGAAACCTGTATGTGGGAAACGCGAAAAAAAGCAACAAATTTGGTGTTACAATTGCTCATCGAAACCGCTATTTATGGCGGCAACCACCAGACGGGTCTATTAGAACCCTGATGAGTGATTTGACCCATCTGGGTGACCCTCTGTTTTATGGGAATTCTTACCAAAAAGGTCCGGAGGAATAGTTTTCAGTTTTAAAACGAACGCGAACTGAATAAGACGAGTTTAACAGTACCGTGATCGTGTGATTAAGAAGTGTTGAGGTGAGTGTATCACTGAGTTATCGGTCTTAGGGGTGATGTGCGTGAGATTCCACCACGGTATGATCTGCATTGTTAATTGTTGTAAAAGCTGATTGGATTATCGACTGTGATTTGGTGAGTCCGTTCCTAGTTGTTATTATTGCATTTGACATGATTATTGATACATAAGTGGTCCCAAGTCAGTTTCCCTTGGTGTCCTTGCACTCTTTGGTTCTAGACCTGGGTACCTGGGATAGTCGCTGGAGCGGGTACGTCGTGCGCCTTCATTTCTCTTCGCCCCATTGCATGACTCAGTACTACACTCTATTGTCGATAGCGAGAGCGAGAGCGAGTACTTCGTGCGCCTTCATTTCCCCTAGTACTCATTGCACACTCTGTACTAGACAAATGCGACCGTTGTGATTTCCAACCATTAGGGCAGAGATTATTGATGAAATAATTGTTAATTAAAGCAGCCATATTCATGATAAAGTAGTACAGAACTTGTTGATTGATGATAAGTCAAAATGACACGGACTCATATTACCAAATTAGCAATTTCGGCGCATCGACTTTAGGGATCGATGGCTCACATCCCCAATTACATTTTACAGGTTGCATAATTGTTGTTATGACCGATTCACTTCGACACCAGCCCTCCTAACCAGGCTATAAATGTAATTAATCAGACATCAACACTGACGAATGTTGACGAATTGTGGGATAGAAGCGGAACGGGTGTAGAATTATTTTGGCTCACTATGAGTAAACAAAGATTTCTTTTTCTTTTACGAAACCTCTGTTTTGACGACCTCGCAACAAGAGAAGAGAGGCGAAAACTGATAAACTTGCTCCTGTACGTACATTCTTTGAAAATTTTGTTGAAAATTGAAGGAGCCACTACACTATTTCAGAATACGCAACAATAGAAGGCAAACTAATTACAACATTTATTGTATTAAACAGCTCCAGTTTAATAACATCAATTTCCTTTTGCACTGGCAACTTTGGCTTCTTTGAGCCCACCTCCCTTTTCACGGGTAACTCTAGCTCCTTCGAACAAACAACCCCTTTCTCGGGTAACTCCAGCTCCCTTGAGCAAACAACCCACAATTGACTGTTTGTGAAAGTGTAAATCGCGTGATTCGAGAGTGTATTATATTTTGGGATAAAGCTAGAATCCCTACCAGAGCTGTCCCTAACTGTGCAAAAAAAACTCGTGGATCTTCACCATGCTTGGAGGGAATTGCAAAAAAATTCCAAAAAATACACGAAGTTTAGAAGCGCCGTGAAGGACTTTCAAAACAATTTAGACAGTTTATTCGCTATAGCACACGCTGATGCTTTGAAACGGATGAAAATAGAAGAAGATAAATTATTTTAACAAAACCAAAGAGAACCCGGTCGTCCAGGGTGAAATGCAGTCGTCATCCAAACTGGCCATACTTCTTTCATATAACCCTTTACTGTAATGTGCTGCATTTATTTTATATTCAATATTCAGTACCCGAAAAAATTTAGTTTGACATTAGAAACTATTCAAAGGTACTTTTTTAAAATTCATCCTGATGCAGGAATTAAATCTGGCAAAAATAATTAAAAAAATAGGGTAATCAATTTTATTCGGAAACTGTGTGATTGTTAAAATATATAGGCACTTAATGTAAAAAGTGTTTAAAGAAAGGTAAACTTATGTTTTGTAATTTTTTTTTGTATGTACGAGTGGGTACAATCCAATTTCACAAATAAATCTATTACCGATGTAGTTGAACAATTAGCATCTAATTAAGCTTTAGTACACCTCAGTCACCGTACATTTTCTGTGTACTACAATCTAAGATCTAGGTGGCAATAGCTAACTAATTTGGTTTCTCTCTGTGTTGCACCAAACAGTCAATCAGATTGCAAGTGATGTACTAGAGGTCTTCCAGTATATGTATTACCGATAAGTAATCGTAATTTTACATTTTTTCTGTAATAATTACATCAGTCATGTAAAGTTACAGAATATTTTAGTTTACAAAAATTTTGTATTTTTACAGATGAGATGTTGCTTACGAATGCGTTTTGTAATTTTACCGAGGCAATCTCAGGCAACAAAAAGCCTATGATTATCACCGTAAAAGTACAGGAGAACTTTTTACGGTGCATACGGTACCACACAAGAAACACGGGTCTATTCCTGTCCAAAACGAAGTTATATAAGGGAGAATTTCCAGCAGGAGCGTCATTCGAGTGGTGTTCGCCAGTAAAAAGTCTCAAGTCGTACCGTACGCTGTTCCCGTCTTTATTTTATAAAACATTTTATTTAGTGGACTTAGAAAAGTTTCAGATTTTATTTTATATTTGTTCGGACGAAGCTTGACTTTGTATTTCATACTCGTCCGGACGAATAGTTTTATTCGATTCTTATGTATGTAACGGTCCCAATAAATGCCCGGGGCGCCCACCAGAATAGCGCTCCGATCGCCACCCTCGTACAGACTCAAGCCTTATCATATCCCCCCTAAGCTTTACCGGCGCACAGGAATGCTCAGTGCAAACCCACCCCAATAAAGGGAGCTGCATCAAAGTTTTTCCTCAGAGTTGGATTCCCACTCTCAGCTAAAAAACATTAAGCCCTTGCAGCGAGTTGGATACCCACTCCTAGGTCTTGTGTTTTTTTCTGCGATTAATACTCAAAGTCTTAGGCCATTTACTTCCCGCCGGGTTGATCCGCGGACTCACTTCTCCTAAAGAGAGGAGTAATTGGCTGGACTATTACGAGTACGGAATCTACGTGTACGAGTACGGAGTTTAAGTGTGCATTTACGACATTACCGTAGTATAGTTTCGCGACGGACTCATACCTGTGCGTGACGGACTGTTAACTGTGCGCGACGGACTGTTACCTGTGCGCGACAGACTTTTACCGGTGTGCTGACGGACTCATACCCGTGCGCGACGGACTGTTACCTGTGCGCGACAGACTTTTACCTGTGTGCTGACGGACTCATACCCGTGCGCGACGGACTGTTACCTGTGCGCGACAGACTTTTACCTGTGTGCTGACGGACTCATCCCCGTGCGCGACGGACTCTACCTGGGCGGTTAAATTAAGTGTCTCTGTTTGGACTATATTGTACTAGTAGGCTTATATTATACCACCATCTGTATATATTTAAGTAATAATAAACATTCGTTACAACCGTTACATGTAGACATTTTAGTGTTCGTGAAGTCTTGTAACCATATAGTAAACAAAATAGAATCAAAATATTATTTTTTTATTCGAATGGTCCATCCGGATCATTAAATATATGTATTGACGAAACCCTAGTACCATTTAAGGGAAAACTGAAATTCAAACAATATATAAGCAATAAACGACATAAATTTGGAATTAAATTATTTAAACTTTGTCTTGCGGATATTTATATATTTATTTAAAAGTTTATTCTGGACAAAAGAGTGATGCTGCACACAATCAAAGCACTCCAAGTGCAATTAACCCTGGAATGCTTAGTGGGGTTTCCAGTAACCCCAGCCAAAATTAGAAACTTGGTAACTTTTTTGCGTTGAGGTTTGCATCTCTGCGGGACCAGCTATGTTCGTTTGAGGTTATGTTTTAAGTTACACGCGCGTATGACGCGCGTTTAATCTTTGTATACTTGCTTTGTTTTTGTATTATAAAGTAATTGGGGTGACGTGTAACCCCAGGTAAGCATTGATGCATAAATCATTTTCCACATTCTTTCAATTTTATTTGAATTTAGATGGCAGTAAGACCGGGTGATTCTCATTTTGAAGAGACCGTTTTACGCTGGTTCGATGAAGCTGACTCAGAATATGATTCTCATGGAAGTGACCAAGAATTTGAGGACCATATGTCGGAACACTCACATGTTGGAAGTGAGATGTCATCTTCTGATAATGAAGATGAGAATGAAGACACCACTGTTCAAGAATCAGGTGTGTCTATCAAGGGTAAGAATGGTCATCGTTGGAGCTCTGTGCCCCCTTCTCGTACTCGGACACTTCAACGAAATTTGGTTTTACGCATTCCAGGACCAAAAGGTGCAGCAAAAAGTATTTCCACAGAATTGGAAGGTTGGAAATTGCTTGTTTCTGATGGAATTATAAACAAGATTGTTCTGCACACAAATTCAGAAATTGGCAGAAAAAAAATGAACTATACTGAAAATTGTGGTTATGTTGGTGAAACGGATACAACTGAATTACTTGCTCTTTTTGGTCTTCTTTATATATCAGGATGCAGAAAAGATAATCACCTAACAACAGCTGAAATGTGGTCAAAGTATGGACCTGAAATATATCGCAGTATTATGAGTGAAACACGTTTTCGTTTTTTGATATCGTGTATAAGATTTGATGATAAAACTGCGAGAAATCGCGAAGATAAATTTTCTCCCATTCGGGAGATATGGGAAGAGTTTGAATCAAATTGTACAAAATATTATACTCCTCATGAATATGTGACAATTGATGAGCAGCTCCTGGGTTTTCGTGGAAATTGTCCTTTTAGAGTTTATATTGCATCAAAGCCAGACAAATATGGATTGAAAATAGTAACCATGTGCGATTCACGCACTTTTTACATGGTAAGTGCCATCCCATATATTGGAAAAGAAGTAAGAGCAAATGCAGAACCCTTACCACATTATTACGTAAAAAAGCTCTCTGAATCTATTCATGGAACAGGACGTAACATAACGATGGATAATTGGTTTACCAGTATTCCACTGGCAGATAATATGGTGAACAATTACAATCTAACTATTGTCGGAACACTACGTAAAAATAAAAAAGAAGTTCCTTCGTCATTCCTGGCAAACAAAAATAAAGAAGCGCTAACTTCGCAATTTGCCTTTGACCAGAAAAAAACGTTAGTGTCATTTACGCCAAAAAAATCTAAGTGTGTTCTATTACTGTCTACAATGCATAATACAAAAACTGTAGATCCAAATAAAAAGCCAGAAATAATTAATTTCTATAATTCAACTAAAGGAGGTGTAGACACGTTTGACCAGATGGTTCACACATATTCAGTCTCGCGGAAGACCAGAAGGTGGCCCTTACGATACTTTTATGGCATACTGGATCAAGCTGGTGTAAATTCAGGAGTATTGTTTCAGATGGTAAAACGCAATAGAGAAAAATGTATTCGTCGGCATTATCTATTTGAGCTCGGAATGCAGCTTGCAAGACCGCACATGGAACGCCGCTTAACAAAAAATTTGACCAAAAAATTGTCTTCATCTATAAGAACTATTCTAGGAATGGAGGAGGAAAATATAGCTGCAGTTCCACCTCCACCAAAACTTGCAAAACAAACTCGATGTGCATTGTGTCCAAGAATCAAAGACATTAAAACTAAAACAGCTTGTTCAAAATGTCATAAACCTGTTTGTAACACTCATCGTGTTGAAATATGTTCAGAATGCAATCAATAAGTTTCTAATTATTTTATCTTAAGCTTAGAATGTTATAAATAAAGCGTTTATTGTTTTGTCTTGTGTTTTTTATTTGTTTAGTTGTTTTTATCAACTGGGGTTACGAGTAACCCCACATAAGCAACTATTGGTGCAATTTTCACCTAAGCAGTCCAGGGTTAATATACAAAGTTGCGTGGGAACTCAAAGTCAACTGCAAAACACTTGAGAACAAGGTTAACAAGGTTGACAAATTCGTGAGCATTCTGGGTGGTCGAACGACAATTAATTATGGGAAATGTATTTTTATGAAGACTTGACGGCGTTTCCAGTGATAAAATTGCGAGAAATGGATTTTTTTTGTTGCATCTTTATCACTGTTCTCACGCTTGAAAATCATAAAAAATCGACCTAAATTCGAATTAAAATGGCAATTCCGATACAGTCTCGTGAACGGTAGAATTGCTTCCTAGTGTGATCGCGATACCCAACTCTCGGCTGTCAGCCTAGTGGAAAGTGCATCCCCAATTCGGTGCCGCGTCCTGTTCCCCTCTCTAGGGACCCTAGAAACGTGAAGTTTGTCTATATTGCGTAAAGTGGTGGTGTTCTGTGGGAAAGCGATGCTGAGGTGAAGTGGTAGAGCGGTGTACAGCTAGAGATATAGCCGGAAAAGAACAGTGTAGGGAAGATTCATCCACTTGCGAATAAGAAAGGAGAAAAGTAAAGTGAGGTTACGTTCTGCCGCTGGGTAATGATTTCATTTAAAAACGTTGTCTATAGAATACAATGGGGGAAAAGCATGTGATTAAATTTGCGCCGATTGCCAAATTTTTTCACCAGGAGGAGAAATTAATTGCGCGCGGCGTATATTCAAATTGTTCCCTGAAAACCTTTTTTAATTAATCTCTTTGAAGTCACAATTTTTCAACACTAGATTATATCTTGATTAAAGTGCAACACTTAAATCAAAGTTTCAGTATTTATTTTTGTCGTAGTTATTGTACGAAATTCTCGAAGGGGGAATGTAAAGATGCGATGTGCAATTTAAAGCATCCCTATAAGTTCTGTCGGGACTTTCAAATGGAGAGATGTCATAGAGAGTACTGTCGATACCTTCATGTGTCCTCAAAAGATGAAATCCAGTACAGAGAAACGCTATATCAAAGCGACACCATGAGGTACGAGACGTTGAGAAAATTACAAATTTCGGGCATTTGTCAAGAATTTAAACAATTCGGCAACTGTAAATACGGAAGCAAATGCAAATTTACTCATAGGACAATAGAGGAACAAGAAAATGATAAGTTTATTTGTCCAGTCTGTTTCTCCGAAATAAGCATGACCTCTTGGTGCATTTTGAACCCTTGTATGCATAGTACTTGCGAGGGTTGTTTAAGAGAATTGATTGCACGTGATATGCCTCGATGCCCTGTATGCAGAGGCCAAGTAGAGGAGGGAAGTTGTCCACTTTCTTTTATTGGTACTTTTTTTTTTAATTTTTCGTCTTTGACTCCAATTTAATCGATGAGCTTCAGTAGCAAATGAAGTATTCGATCCGCTGCAATTTTATGTGCTATATGATCTCGTTTTCAGAATTTTAACACCCACTTCCTGCAGAGAGTTCTTAATGAAGAGATGTAGAAGGGCTCAGTGCAAATACCGCCATGAATTTATTATATGTAACAACATCCAATGTTTGGGCAGTTTAAAGTGCATCATGGTACATAATTTAACTTCGCAGGAAATAAAGCAGGTTGAAAGTGAGAAGATGCCTTTTTCACAAAATATTAATATCGAACTGCGTCGGCTAGCCTATGTTATAACAAATAGTTATAAAGCAGATATCCAGAATCATATGTGTACAAGGGAGCTCACAAGAACAGAAACTTGTATAAGAAAAACATGTGTAGTCTGTAAGCCTCAAGAAAACAATCCGTTGCCCCTCATGAGTATGTTATGACCGTTTGACAAAATGTGTTTGACATTTTATTTTTTCACTTTTTTTTATTACGAAAAATTGTATGCCACTCCTGTAGATTGCCATTGTTGCCCAGTAAGTCTTTCTACTTAGTCACATGCGGGCATGTTATTTGTGAAAAATGCTTATCTCATGCCAGAGTGGTGGTCTTACAAGAGGACGAAACTTGTTGCTGAAAGATATTCCTTAATGCATCGTGGTTCATACAGCGCATTAAAGAACGATCGCCAACATTTGCGTACAATGGCACGATTGATTTTAAAGTTAAAGACATAAACCCCTCTATTCTGGATTTTGAAGATCTGATACTCTATGGAGGTTATGATGCCTTACTAGAGGGAGTTTTCAATTTGTGTTCACTTGACAAGGAAACAGGCGAGTTTGGAATGCCAAGTCTGGCAAAAGCTTTACGATCGAGTATTACATTTCTTTTAGACGCACTTAACGTTGATTATTTAACTCATAATCTTCCCAGACAATGTGAAGAGCGTGGCCGTTTTGACAATTTCAAAACTCTCCATGATAAAAACTATGGAATCTATGTTGGCAGGTCAGCTGGTCGAACCAGCTTGCAAAGAAAAGCAGCCAAATTACATAATTTACCAAAGGCAAAGGACGTGAAATTATTTTCCACATTGATAGTTTCTGAAGCGGAGCAGGCGTATCAACGGTTACAGGACGGTTTCGATTTCGACACATGGCTAAAATTAGGAAAGGCTGCGTTGGCAAGAGTTATTGTGTACAATAGACGTAGAGTCAGTGAAGTTGCAAGTATGTCGTTGGAATTGTATAACAAAAAAATCGAACTTGATGATGAAATACTTCAATCCCTTCCAATGCATCAACGGGAGTTAGCGAATAAATACAAAGTGATGACTTTGATTGGAAAGCGTCTACATATATTACATGTGCTGTTGGACGAAAATCAATGCAGGTAAATGAGTACTTTGATTTTTCTACTTTTTAAAAGATTTTTGATTGTGTTGTAGGTATCTAGACATGTTTCTCCAATATCGAAAAGAAGCTGGTGTTCCCTATTCAAACAATTACCTTTTTGGTATACCTACGAGAGCGATGTTTATCGATGCTTCAGTTGTTTTAAGAGATTACTCAGAGAAATGTGGTGCTGAAGAACCGCATCTTTTACGTTCCACTTATTTAACCCTCCAGCAGTCGCGCGTGTATCAGACAGATACATGCCTATTTATTTCCATAATATTTTAAAAACGGCAAATTTTAGGAATGCGCGGCATGAACTAATCCTTAAGAGATTTGTTTCAAAGCGGTACCGGAAATTGCAAGAAGGTCCGTTCATTGTTACGGCTATAAAGCAGGTAAAATCCAGGTAGCGCACGAGTATGTATCCCCTAGCGCGATCACTCTTGCAATTATTTGAAGCGAGTTGTTTGAGCAGTGAACACGTTATTGTAGTGCCCTAGAGTTTGTTTAAAATTTTACCTTTTGTTAACAATGAGTAAAAAGTACTTTGATCTAACAAAAAGTGAAGACATTGACGAAATACACCAACTGTTCTTCTCTGAAGAAGATGATCTATGCGAACATTGTGTAATGCCACCCCTGATACCTCGCTTTATAAAATTATACATATTTATATCTGTAAAAAGCTCTAAATTTACATGTGTATGTTTTAACATTGCGTCCCACGCTAACCCAGGAGTAGTATAATAGTAACATGGATCAAGGTGATCTATTTTATAACAGAGATTTCTAAAATTTTGAAAAACATCAGTTAGTAATAAAACATCAGTTATTAAATAGATTTTTAAATATTCCCACAAGCTAACACAATTAAATTTCTCCCAAACTTTTTTCGCATGTTCATAGTCTTCATCAGAACAGTAGGTATTCATTAATTTGTTATTAAAATCGCTTTGTAAAGGTAAAGTGGTTTCATCTAATCTCTCCCATGAATTTAAATATTCATATGGTAGTATATCTTTTCTAGTAACTAAGTTAAATTGATCATCGTTTGTAAAAACCGATCTAACACTTTCAAAACATGAAGGTGACAAATTCTTAGCTAGTTTTTCTAAACTACTTTGCATAAATCTAGCAGAATCAAGAAAACGTATTTCCACTGATTCTGTATCTCCAGCAAATCTGTTAAGATATATCCGTTTCGATAGTGATATATATAGTTCTTTATTTAGTGGAATCATCTTAATTCCACCTTTAATAACACTTAATGCTTTAAGAAATAGATGACAGTCATATCCTGAGAAATTGTGGAAGAAAACAGGAAAAAACTTTGATATCTGATATTTAAGATTACAATTAGAATGTGCTGGACCTCTATATCTTCCAGTAAAATGACAGTGGTCGACTACTTTATCACATCCTAAAGTTTTCTTACGAATATGACATTCCTTAGATTGTTCATGTATTTTTTGGACACATTAGAATGTTATTATAAAGATATTTAATATCTATCCTCAGCTAAAGATAGAACAAATTGTTTTGGTGAATCAGTTCCTTTATATATTCGTAATTTATTAAAACTGTCATCAAAAGAACATTTTATGTAATATGCAAATGCACATGGTACATGTTCTTGAATAATTGTGGTTGAAGATGTGGTTGATTGCGGTAAACAAGTATACTGTATAATTCTAAAAAAAAAAAATGATATTAAACAAAATTATTTCATCATAAAAATTAAAATGAGAACACGTGATCACCCATCT